ATTTTCTATTTGTGTGTGTGTGTCTAGCAAGGTGACACTACAGCTGACTTTGATTTTATGATTTCTTTTTAAGTTCTGCTGTCTTTTCCTGTTGCCATATTCATTCTTTCATTCAGTTGTTAGTAGTTGTCAGAAAACTGTTCCTGTTTTGTCACTTTTTCTGAAATATCTAAGAGCAAAGTCGGATCCAGTTTTTGAAGTGATGTTAGCTGTTCGATGACGATGCATCTCAAAGAAACGACACAATGAAAGCTTCATATATCACCTGACACAAGTATTCTGCATCACTTTATGCTGCTATCTCCTGCAGTTTGCTCACCTATTAGTCAATCAGGTTGAGCAAACATTGGCTGAAAGTCCAGACACAATGAAGTCATGCACCAGGTATCGCTGTGTCATAAACTGGTTCGCCATATTGTTCTCCTGCTTTATCAACAGATGATAGACAACAGACATGACTGCTCTGATACAACCTTTCCACAGAAGGAAGTCAATGTTCATTCATAACAGAAAAAAATATCCCATAGTTAACCATTTTAAAGAGCTCATTTAACTAGACGGACAGAGAGGTTGTTTTCCAGTTTTAGAATTGAATTGAATTTAATCAACAATTTTGGAACTTTTTTCCCCCCGTTCTCTTGAACAGCTTTATTTGCAGACTTGTAACAGTGCAGTCGATTGAGTGCAATAAAAAGTGCAGAAAAGCAATTGTGATGAGATAGGTGAAGGTTTTATGTCGCTTATCAGCATCAAATAATTCTACTGTTTGAACCCTAATTACATAATTTTACTTTCTACCTTAAATTGAACAAATCAAAGAGCATTTATCCTGAGAAAAAAAAGTTAATTAAAGCAGTAAAAATATAGATAAATCGATTATTTCTCCACTGCCAGTCAAAAAGTTTTGTTTGGTATTTTTTTCCCCAAAAAACTTTTTGATAAAGATCTGTAGTTGCTGAATGTTTAATGTATTTATATTATGAGTGTTTTACCAAATATCATCAGGAGATTTCTACTGTTTGCACTGGTAGAGTTAAACTGGTGCACCAGTGGATCAGTGATTAAAGTGCCCGGTACACTCAGCAGAACCCCTTTAAAACGTGTAATAAGACTTCAAACATATTCATGTTTTGCTGTTGCATAAGCTCACACAGCTTTGTGTTTTTCTGATGTTGGTATGACATTAACATAATACCTGATTTTCTGAGAAGCTGTGAAAAGTATGACACTATCACACCACACAGAATCCAGCAGAATCATCCTTTACAACTAAAAATGGGGGCAATGCCCCGCAGTCTGTTCAATGTAAAGAAAGTCAGTACAATAACTAACCAAGGTCTTGTTGAAAATGGTTTAAAGGTGATGTGACAAACTATCAGTGACCAATAGGACGGTATGACACAGCATGGCACCACTACATCCTAATAAGGTAAACCCTGCCCCCACCGGGTCTAAGCGGGCCTCAGCCTCACTCGTCCCATGAAGCCCACCCATCAGACGAGCTTCAAATGTGACCTACTTAATATCCAGTAACAATTATCTCGAAGCAGAATGGAGAGCATCTGGTGCCCTCTACTGGACGAATGCATTGCCACTGATTTGCACTGTATTTCATCATAACTTTCTTTCTTTTTTTGGTGTATTTTTTTTTTGTATGTGTGTAGCTTGTGTTTTAATGTGGGTTTGAATTTACTGCATCATGTATTTTAATGCTGATTATTCTGTCATTAACCATTTTAACTTGCAGGGCTTAATTCACACTGAATTTCAGTGACACCGATTTCATCATCGCTACTATTCATTAAACAAACATGAATTTAAAAGCTTTGAGTGATAAGTACACTTTGTAATTTAATAATATTGGACAGAATGAAACAGAATAGACTAGTCATTTTATTATTTTCTGTAGGACTAATGTCTTAAAGTAAGGGATTTTTTTTTCCAACTCTTGATGCAACATTGATTTTGTATTTCCTGGATGCTTAAATTTAGGTAAAGCTTCAGATTACAGATGGATGATGCACGTAAACTAGTGACTGCAGAAAAAGCCCAAACATGGCTCTGTATATTATCCAGACCTCTCCACTTTGGTCTCATCTTTCCAACTGAAGCTGTTAAAAAAAAGAGAGAAAAGTTCTTGCTTTCAAAGTCATTGCATAATGTCACTTAAAATAAAATTATTCCATGAAAACAGAAAGCAGGTGATCCAGTTTTAAAAAATTTGTTACAAGTGATCAAATTTAGTTTACCCAAGTAAATATATTAAGTTGTCATGCTAACCTCTGGAAATAGGCACCAGCACTCTTGGCGACCCCATTAGGAATAAGTGTCTAAGATAATGGATGGCAATTGTCATGTTAAACAAATGTAAATAAATTAAGTTTTATAAACTTAATTTGATAAACTTAGTTTGATAAACTTAATTTGGCTACACGGAAAAAAATAGCTTTTTTTTTTTAAGTTGACTAACATTTCTCTTTAACCTTCCTATTATGTTGTAGGTCAAAAGTAGTTTTTTTTAAAAAACTTTTTCTAATTGTCGTAATAGGTAGACTCTAGATATAAATGGAAAATGTATTCATTTTACACATTTGCAATTCCCCACTGCGTCTATATTTTACATAGATACCGTTTGGGTCAATTTGACCCAGCAGTCAAGTTGGAAGGGAAAAAAAGATTTCAAAAAATTCCAATTCTATATGTTTCCTTGCAGTTTGAACTGTATTTCACCACACACACACGCATATGCACACACACGCACACGCACGCCCACTCATCTACACACATACAAATTTTTATGGGAACCTCTTCTGCTCCTGTGGGCAAACTCCACCCACACTGAGCGGACACTCAGCAGAAGTGGGGGAAAACATAAATACTCTCTGTTATAAAGATCATCCCTTGACAAAAAATTCAAAATGTAAAAAAAAAATAAAAAATCAACAAAAAAATCTATTTTAAGAATAATTTTTGTTTTTTTTTTCAGCTGTTTTTTTAGTATATGAGTCATTAGTACACTTGATGCGTACTAATGAGTAAATTAGTAAATTGTTAGAAATAAAAAAAACATTATTGTACAAATATTGATTCAGATTGTTAATGTTGGAGTTAATAATCAGATGCAAAAATGTTTTGGAAAATATTTTTGGTTTTTGATACTGTTGCATGATTAAACACTCCATGGGTCAAACTGACCCAGGAACATTATTGGTGTAGCTCAGAAACAAGCAAAACAGGATTAATTTAGTCATGTTGACCTTTGGACATTTGGACATTCTCTTTACAATGTCATGCTTTTAGTAGGTAATGAACTTGTTCTTTTTTGGGGGGGGGAATTTAATCTACTTGTGATTATAGACTTGGACAATTATACTTGTCCACAATGACTGCTGATGTTTTAATTTTTGGGATTTTGTTAATGCACATCTACAGGCTCCCGATCAGTAATCTCATCCCCTTTCTGCTTAGGAGAATATTTAATTTTAAACATTATTTTAACAATACCAGACTGTTAATATCAGATGTCAAACTGGGTGTAGCAACAAAAGCAACTTCAGGCGTTTATTACTTCTGATCCCCTCCTCCATCTGTATTGAAGTCATGCTGCGGTCTAGATAAACACTCTATGTGCTTACAGAAACAGGTGTCAGGCTTCAGCGGGTTTTACGCACATACATACACACACAGACTCATGCCAACACGCGTACATACACTCATGGTTAATTATTTATCCACCCACTGTACCACTGATATACACACCATCCTGCCTGTGTCACCAGAGAAGTTTCTGATGGAGAATCAAGAGAAAAACCCTGAAAGAAAGCTTATAATAAATTAGAATAGCATTATAAAAGTAATTTATTTTCATAAATAAGTTTAAACAGTTAAGATAAAATACTGGCTGATGATAATGGATCCCCAAACCTTGAAGAAACATCATGTGAATAATGCGCCGTTCCGTCCGCTTACTGCTCCTGAGCTTGATCTCCAATGAAAAATATACTTTAATATTTTAAAAAGAGGATTTTCAATCACTGAGCAAAAGTCTAGCCATTTTTATCTTTGGCCATAATGAGATGTTTTTGATGTCATCCCTGGTTTAGGAATGGTTTAAAAGCAGAAATGTGTGTGAGAAGGCTATCACAGCGCTGACTTCAGCTCAAGTCTCAAAGTCAGCAATGACTTTGCTTCTCAACTCCATCAAGGCTGTTTTCATCCCTCGTGTTGTGCATTTCATCTTTTTACCAGACTTTCCCCTTCCACTAAATTTTCCCTTGATATTCTTGGAAACAAGCATAGACTGTGCAATGTAAGGCTGTGAAGCCAGTTTAGTCCGTAATAACACATTTATTTAGGAAACTAACTTTGTCATCGACTTCTTATTCCAATTTTCCAATTTTCTGACAAAATAAACTCGAGGTTTTCCTCGGCTGTACCTTTATTTAGAGCTTGAAATACAGGACTTCATGTGTAATAATCTGTATGAGTTCCACTTTTTGAACTGAACTACCTAAATACATTTATTGTTATGTGACTCGTCAATTTATGGAGATGGACGTGACTGATCAAATATGAGAAGCTGATTGTAAATGTTTGAAAACTAGGAACTGACTGTCAAATATGCTGCACAATGTCAACTTCCCACAACTTCTGACAGACCAGAGCGATAAGTGAAGAACATGTTCCCATCCCTCCCCTCCCCCCCTATATAACTCGCATCTTTGGTGCACTTGGGCAACGTTTGCGTAACTGTAACATTTTTGCCCTGAAATGCGTAAAGTTTATTTTAGATATTGCGCTAATAATAGTCCGAGGAGATATTTTTCCACAGTGTGTGTTTCTGGTGGTGTGGAAGCAGCGAGTTTGGGCGGAACCATTCAGCGCGCGAGGGGCGTCGAGGAGCAACGTCGATAAATTGTAAATATCTTCCTCCACACACGACAGGCTCCGAGCAAGAAGCTTTTCCTCTCTTATGCTATTTTTACAAGGCTTCCATGTGCTGTAAGAATATTTACACGGTTTCAGCAGCCATTGGGAATCGGTTTTAATTGTTTTCTGGAAGAAAAAAAAGCCCCCCCTTCGGTGTCAATTTGGTGGAGTCGGATGAAAACCGAGCTGTGCGTGAGTGTGCGTGCGCCACATCTTCCACTAAATGATAAAAGCCACTTCAAACTGCCGGGGACCGAGCTTAAACAGAGGCGTTCAAGTCCATGCAGACCAAACTCGGCTTTTCTCTGTTACTTCCCGCTGAGGCCGCACAGACTCAGTGGAGCGTCGTGTGTTTTTGGCTTTTTGCTTTTTCTTTAAACCGTTACAAGTTGACGCGTAAGTTCGGCTGCCTGCAGCGGGATAAAGTGGACTGTTTCCTAACGAGGAGCCGAACCTGTACAGAGGTGAGTTTCAGTTGAGTTTAATGTATTATTTTTTTTCTACTGTAACGTCCAGTGTGTCACAGTCTGGTCAGTTGGACAGAGGCGGGTTTTACAGACGGACAACACCCGCACACGTCACACCTCTTCTGAAAAGTTTATTCAGACAACCAGATGTCACAGAGAGGAGAGTTCATCCCAAATACTGACACCGCCACGCGAGAAATATTTGCAGATTTAGTGAATGGCTTTCAATGTGCCTTAACAATTAAAAAGTAATCTGAGTAATGGTTATAATACAGTTTCTTCTTCTTCATGAAACTGTGAAAAACGTAATTTGACAAAAAAAGCAATATGGCTTCACTAGCTCCATCTTTTCTTTTATTGTAGTGAAATGGTATTAATATATGTTGTACTTGCAGATACTTTTTTTGTGTCTTTAATTGTGAAATCAACGTGCAGTCAACTTAAATAGAACTGCTGTTTACCAGCTTCTAGCATCAGTGGCCATAAGTTGTCATTTATTCCTCAGGACCTTCACTGTTTCTCAGCTTTCTAACCTCTGGATTGCTTTTCTGATCACATGACCTGATTTTGGCCAAGCTCCTGCTGCTAAACAGATGGCCTCACATTTGACTCCATAAAATATTTGGCATATCAAGAGGTTTATGGTCAGCTTAATAACTACAAGATGCCCATGTTGTTGGGTCGCAAGACAAGCCCAAACCATGACGTACCCACCTCTGTGCTGCGAAAACCCCACCGTTTGCAGAGGCTTTTGCAAAACCACACAACTGCCACTACGGACATGAAGAAGTCTGGTTATTCCTTATTATTTTCCCAAATCCAACTTTGGAAACCTTTTTCAAAAGAGGATCCATCTTCCAGACAACTAACATGATGGGCATGGCATTGTTTAGAAAAAGTCTGGAAACCCTTTTCAGATTGATAAGTAGCAATAATACAGTCACACTATAACTGTACTAACACACAACTGGATGCTCTGGATGCTCCAGCTGCCATAATAGAGTTGGTCACACTTCCTGAAGACCTGAATCCACACGAAGGAATCAGTGCATTCGATTAGCACAACCTAGTTGCTACTTTCCCTGTGAACTCCAAGGGAAACTGCAAGAGCATGGATAGTTTTATAAACTCAGCTTATGACAAAATTTGTTTAAATCTTTTTTGTACACATGATGGTAGACTGATAATAATGATAATATTTAAAAAGGTTTGCTTTCATTTGAGTATGTATTTGACCATTTTTTGCATCCTGGTCTCAGTGAATTCTTGGTTACATTTGTACTGAACAGGTTAAGTCTTGCTTGAAATGTTGAAATTTATCAATTAAAATGTAAGTTTCATGCAGTCAGACGTTTATGAAATCAATACATTCAAAATGTACTAATTTGACATTTTAAAATTGAAAATGGTAGCTCCAACTGTTTTCTAAAATGTTAGCTTTGATAAAGGAAAAAAAAGAGACAAAGCTGGAACAAATGGATGCAGAACAAAGTGTCTACTTCCAATTTGGCAGCTCTTAAAGTTGAACATTTTAAAAGCACACTTGCTGAAAACGTGCTTTGTTTTCTTTGGTACCAATGTACCGTATTTGGTTTTACGATGCTGTTGCCTTGACTACCGGTGTGTGTCAGGGAACATCATCCTGAACCGTTGCCTGATTTTCACTGACACGGGTAAAAAGAGGCAAGGCTGGAAGCAAGAATTTTCCAGAGGCTCAGTTTTCTCATTTTCTTCCTGATGTTCTGGCTCCTCACCCACCTGCTGCTCCTGTATTGACTGCAGGAGAGAGAAATATTTCAAGATGAACTTTCGTTCATCTACACAAAGCATGAATACCATATGGTCTTTGCTTCATATTGGTTAATTTTTTTAGTCTTCTTAAAAAAATGGTCAAAAAGCTTTGCCTCAATCGAGAGTTTTCTAAACACATTGGAGCGATTTTATAAATAAAAGTAGAGATTTTATTAATTGTTTTTGTCAGGTAATTGAAAAGGCTCTGAGTGCAATAACTGTTACTACTGTTTGATTTATGATTAGTTAGCAATCATAACTAATCAGTTATGATTGGATACATAGTTTTGGATACATGGTTTTTATTTGTATAACAGATTTGAGAGGAATACATTTTACAGTTTCAAGTGTTATTTCTCCACCTCTTTTGCACATCCAGAAACAGACATTTTCAATCTTAGACTCAATTATAGAGGGATGGAAATTCTTTTTAAGAGTTGCTGTATAATCTCAGGCCTGGACTTTGACTGGGCCATTCTAACTTTTAATTTATAGCTCTGGCTGCTTGTTATAGCGTTATCTTGCTGAAAGATGAGCCTGTGTCCTGGTCTCAAGTCCTTTGCAGCCTCCAGCTTCTACCAGGCTTGTCTTATATTAAATTCTATTAATCTGAGGAAAGGCATTCATGCTGCATGGTGCTGCCTTAAACCTGTTCCACAGGGTGGATGGAGATTTCAGGATGATCTGCAGTTAATTCTTTGTCTCATTTATCCTTTTGCATGGAGGCCAGAAAGTAAAATTTTGATCACATCACACCAGAAGACCCTTTTTCCCAAGCTTGCTTTGTCTGAACTCTGAAATCAATTGGTTGATAGGTTTCATTTAGGAGTATCAGAGTAAAAGGGGCAGAATTCTTATTCACAGCACTTCTTTAGTGTTTAAAAGTGACAAAATGTGAATACGTAAACGAGATCCTCCTAAACTTTGACCCTGCAAATGTCACCAAGTCAACGCCAAATCTGCACATTGCAGTAAAATGGGCCAAGTGGCTTACTTACAGTCTTTTTCTGCTCTGAAAACAATTACAGTATTACATTGTGCAGCACTTTGAAGAAGAGATCTGCTTGAACATTAAAAAGCCCATTTATCCTCTCACTTCCAAAACACTCAGAGTGTTATTTAAACACAGAGTAAATCATATCAGAGAGTTTATATACTTAGAATCATTTCTCATGTCTCTTTTAGGTAACTTTTTTTCTCCTTCCTTGTGGATAAAGCTTAAAACAGACAATAAGGTGAGCCTAAAAATGGAAAACAGCTGTAAAAAAATGGCCAGGGGTTTACAGGAAGCCTACACAGGGCTTGTGGAAGGGGTGAGTGCTGCTCTGGAGCTTGTGTGAAGCAGTCTCATTAGGCAAAGCAAACCATGCAGACCAGAGATGGGGGTTGGGGACAGGGAGGGAGGCTGTTGCTGTGTAATTGAAGAGAATTGCAAACATAGAGCATAGAAAGGCAATCTCCAGGGGCTGCTGTGTATCAAGGACCGGTCACAAACTCTCAATGTTTTCCATGACAGTGAGCGTACAATTTCATCTGCAAAAGGATGTCTTGAGGGCAGTGTCTATATCTATCAGCCTTTTCTGTTTCATTTCTCTGTAAGAGCAAAAACAGAGGGGCATATGTCACATTATAAGCAGAAGGAAATAACCGCCCCTGCAGGAGGTTAAAAAAAGAAAAGCGAGTCAGGGACTTAGAATAATCTATTAAGTTGTTTACCTAGGATTAATTTTGCTACAGTACACTTCTTCTTCAATGAGGACGTCCTCTGGGAAGTTAATGTTTAATTTCCAAGCTTGGTATCTGTAAAACACTTCAGTTTCCCAGTTTGGGCCCTGCTGGGTTTCATGTGGCTTTGTGGGGATAAACAGTAGCGCCCATATCTACGTCTGTTTCTGCTCAGCCTGAACACTGAGCTGTCTTGGAAAAGTCCATTCTCTCCTGCTTCCTCATCCTGTTGCATGTGCGAGAGAAAGTCATACGGTCAGGCTTGCAGGCTAGTGCGTTATTTATGCTGCAGTCTAGATAACACCAAATCGACAGGAATGACATTATGTTCTGAATTCAGAAACACTGAGTCGGTCTTTAGTTTTTCTTGACTTAACACTAAGTCAAGCATTCAAAAATCAACACACATTAAAATAATGAGCATTGAGGATTATTTTATTTTTTTACTTTATCACAATCTTCCTAAAATAATAATAATAATATAAAAAACCATTTTCATAAACTTTCATTGTGAACTGAAGAAGATTGATAATGAAGCAGGAACAAACACTACGGGCAACATTCAATGATATGAAAAAAAAGTACATTTCAATATTGGTGTCTAATCATATTTTTAAAACTTGTTTTAGTTTTCGAACAAAACCAAAATTTGCTTTGTTGCTCAGTAGGATTTCAGGTCAACTTTTGAATCAACATCTGCACAAGGTCATCTGAGGAAATTTTATAGTTACAACATTTTACTAGCATCTAATTAAACTGAATTGACCACAAAGATGCTGTGATGGAAAACCTTTGTTTACATTAGTAACAATAAGCAATCCAAGTCTAATGCCAGACTTGGTAAGTCTGAGAGAAGCTAAAAAAAATTAAGAAAAAAAACAGGATATGAGGAGATTTTGTTTTTTTTTTTTAAAGCAAAAAAGGCCTTGGAAACTTAAATCAAAGCTACAACACTTTGCAACTGTGCTTAATCTATTCCTTTTTCATTTAAGAGCCCCTGCTGCATTGTTAAGATCAAATTCTCACATCTGCTTCTCTCATCACATTGTGACTCTGGTTCAAAGAAGAGCAGGAAATTAAACTTGTGAGGCAATTAAAAGAAATGACAGTGTCTATGTGTACTCAGATTCACACTGTCTTCATCTGTTCTTCAAAAAGAATCAGTCTGCTGGCAGTGAAGAGCGAAGCGATGAGATCTAATATCTTTCAGCAAAAAAAAGAAAAATCATTAGAAGGAATAGGGAGAAGTGGAGGTGTTATATAGAAAGGTTATTATGTAATAGAACCTCTGGTATTACCAAAGCAACTCATACTGTATGGCTGGAAATAGTTTTTCTTCTATGTGTCATACTTTTTCCATTCTTCCCAACACCCACACACCCCTGTTTTCCATCCTTCCCACTCACACTTAAACAGATACAAGTAAAAGATTAGCTCGGTTTTATCGATTTTTGCCTCCACACTTTAGCAGAAATGCCATTTGCTTAAATTTACTTGGAAGCTTGTGTTTTTACTAATCTGTTCTATCGCGTTTCGTGTATTGGAAACATTTACTTTTACAAGTAACCAGACTGCCTTTTCACACTATGAGCCATTTGCAGTGTCACAACCACCAATTTCTGTATACTTTATAAAATATGATTTACCATTATAGTATAATTGCAAGGCAGAGTGGAAATAATTTTTTAAAAATACAAATTTTAAAAATGTGAAATTGTCTTAAAAATGCATTGCTACAAAAAGTTACATAACTAGTAAAAATTATCTTATTTTTGATATCAGTTGAAATCCAATTTTGTAAAAACTACAGAGGATATTCACTAAGAGCATAGTGAAAGCAATGCAGAAAATATGAAGCATTTAAAATTTGGTCCTGCTCTTACACTCACAGGTAAGTAGAGCATGAACATTTGACTTTGTGCTTGAAACATGACAAAGTGTAAAATTTGTCTGTATTCAAAAGGTTTTCCGACCATTCTTTGGTGTGTTGTTTTCAAGGTCAGATTCAAAGCTGCCATCACCATTTTTCTTATTTGATAAAACAAAATCAATTCCCTTATATTTGAAATAAAAACAAATCCGCCTTCACAAATTTTTCTCGCCAGATAACTTTTTTTTTGTGTTTGCTTACCAAAACAAACCTTTATCTTTACATCATCATGCAAGGTGTCACTTTCAAAAATTAGATTTTGTTCTGGATGTGCTGTATTATCATATCACCAATCATGAATGCCCCTGCATGCATGAATAAACAGTTTTTGCAGAGTATACCGTAACCATAGGAGCTGAATTCGGACAAACCACAGAAACCAAAGGTGAATAGACCCAGGTGGCCAGATGCTTTTTAGCCATCATTTGTGTCTGCTTTTTATTCAGTAATAAATTACACCTGCTTAAATTAAATTAGATTACCCATTTTCCCAGGATGGAGGGGATTGTTATCGAGGTGAATGTCTGGTTCTCTGTCGGCTACAGTAGTCTGTGTCAACCTGACCTTTTACAAAGTTGCTTTATTAAGATTTATAATTCCTCCCCCAGGATCCTTGTCCCCTTTCCAGTGGAGGGCAAGGTTAACAAATTAACTCTATCCACACACACAACCACCTACACGTACACAGACAAACACATTTATTTATTCTCTCCCAAACATAAGCAGAATACTTTCCCAACATTGTTGAAATCTTTGATGTCTTGGTGTTGAACAATCCACCTTTTTCTTCTTCGGCTTGATTGAGAAGAATTTCTAGCACATGTTTAAGAAGGAAACGCTGTTGAAAACTGAGAAGAATAATTGATCCAATGAATCATTTATGAAATTCACACAAGGTTGTTAATGAGGTTTGTTGGTCCCCTGCAGGAGCAGAGGAAGTGGAGCAGCCTTTGACGTGGGGCGCAGTAGTGCGGCTTGAGTAGAGACACTTAGAAGAGAAGGTAGAAACGCCAGCTCGGCTGTCCGCCTCGGAGCGCTGCATCATGGGGAAGCAGAACAGTAAACTGCGACCTGAGGTCCTGAACGACCTGAGGGAGAACACAGAGTTCACCGACCACGAGCTGCAGGAGTGGTACCGAGGCTTCCTGAAGGACTGTCCCACCGGCCACCTGACAGTGGAGGAGTTCAAGAAGATCTACGCCAACTTCTTCCCGTATGGCGACGCCTCAAAGTTTGCGGAGCACGTGTTTCGTACGTTTGACACAAACAGCGACGCCACCATAGACTTCCGGGAGTTCATCATAGCTTTGAGTGTGACATCACGTGGCGGGCTGGAGCAGAAGCTGCGCTGGGCCTTCAGCATGTATGATCTGGACGGGAATGGTTACATCAGTCGGGCGGAAATGCTAGAGATAGTTCAGGTGAGGAAAACATGTTCTGCATTATAACTGATTGCATGTTAAATATGTCAGATTGCATGAAGAGGTAGAGAAGGTTTTACATCCGCAGATGAGAAAGACAATAGAGGCTGTCAGAACCAGTTGGTTCTTTAGTATTAATTATTCTAAACTTTTAACCCCTTCTTGGTTGTTTGTTGTGTGCATTTCTAATATCTATGGTGCTTTAAGTAAATAATTTCCACTGATGCTGCGAGAGACTCACAGCTTACTCCTCCTTTATTACAGCCTGCAGCTTGCAAGAGCGTTTCTAAGAATGTGAAGGAGCTCAAGAGGAAAAAAAAGCATTTTCTGAAATAAATCTAAAACCAATAACTGTATCATAGCTTCTTCACTTTAAAATTTTATTGTCTTGCAAACGTATGTACACCTCGTTTCATATTTTAGCAGGTTACAAACAGCCCAGGAAGGGGAATTCATTTGACTTTTACATATAATAACTGCAATACACAAATTTGACTTTAATTCTAAAGTGGCAAGAAGAAATCTATTTTTGAAGGAAATCTTTAAGAAGTCTTGCTTGTAGTTTCCCACAGGTCATGTAAGGGTCAGAGCACTGACTGCACAAGTAAGCGAGAAATATTGCACGTTTATGAGGCAACTGACAGATCATCTGGTGCTTGTGTGCTCCCCTTTGTAATGGCTTGCAGTAAATCTATTGCATTTTAATCTCTTACAATTGTAATAGAAAGTTGGTGTTTAATAGAAAACACCAACTTTCTACTAGGAAGACTAAATATCCTAAATTTCAGTCTAGAAATGCTTTGCTGCCATTCTCTACAAATCTCTATCTACCAAGTACAGGTTTGCCAGGTTTTCTGGGTAAACAGTTTTTCTTTGGCCTGCTAGTTTCAGAGGAAAGAAAACGAATGACCTCGTAAAACTAGCCTTGTATGTCACTACCATATATGACGCTGAAATCTACACTCATGCTCTTTTAGAAAAACATACTAGCGGAGGAGCACTTTCAAGTACAACTCATTCAATGGGTTCTCTCTGTATCAAAATAACTCCCCACTACTTTAAACATTTTAAATAACATTTCCACTCAATTATGTTCAAAAATTCTTACAATATTCTGACTATTTTTAACTGTTTTTGTGTTTATTTAGTCCAAAGATCCATCCAGTAGCTCTCTCTGCTTATTTTTTATTAATTGACGAAATCAAACCAAATCTCCAGTCAGTTCTATGCTCATCACTGTTTGCAAAATGCTGGAACATACTATTAAAATTACATTGTTTTCAAAATATATTTATATGTCATTTTAAGATGTGAATTTATAAGGAACTGTAGTGTACTCTTTGTTATGCAGGTAGGTTTTACTCACTGTGCGTCTTACTGCTGCAGATATATTTACTCTTCCAGAATGGAGAGCAGAGCAGAATGCAGGGGCATCTCATTATTAGCTCTGTTGTGTTTGCTGATAGAAGCGAATGTGGAAAAATCAAAGTTGGGCCATGAAGCTGCTCTCTGTACTGTGGAAGTCTGTCAGAGAATCCTCTGCAGATTCAGTTCTCTGAGCAACGGAAACAGGTTTGAGCATCAGTAAGCGTAAGGTTAATCTCACATAAGAATAGATATTTTTCCCACATAACTCTGCAGCAACAAAGATATAATTAGAAAAGTCCTCATGTACATAACTGCATTCCCAATTATGTTAATCTGTAGGCCATCTACAAGATGGTGTCATCAGTAATGAAGATGCCAGAGGATGAGTCGACGCCAGAGAAAAGAACGGATAAGATCTTCAGACAGATGGACATCGACAATGATGGTAAGACTGGTGTGATGTGTATGTTTTGTCTGTCATACTCATGCTATAACTGATTTTTCCTCAGCATTTTCTCCTTAATGGAAATAAGTTGTTTGCCTTGTAAGAAGGACACACGTGTTCTTTTCACACAGACCAGAGTGCATGGCACATTGGCTGACATGGAGTTAAAATCTTAAAATAGAATTTCAAAAAATGAATTGCTGAATTTAATTTGTTTCACTTTCAGTTTTTCTTTAGCAGAACTCACCCTCATTTTGTTGTAGCAAAAAAAAAAAAAAAAAAAAGAGGGTGATCTTTGTAGCAAAAGTTCTCACGTTTCATTTTATTTCCACTCTACGTGGCCTACAGCCACGTAGAGTCATAGGTCTCAAGAAGGTTCCATGATGGATGCAGCATTGTCATCCATATATGGCAGTAACTTCCTCTCAGAAGTGCTTTTACTACAGACTGACTCACAGGTTGATGGAACAGGAGGCCTACCAACAATTACTCCACACAATACAGTAAACTGGGAACAAAAGTATGGAAAATCAGGAAGAGAAGTAGTACTGTCCTGGACGGGTTTGTCATGATCTCAGCCATTTCCTCTCCATAGAAAGGAAACTGAAGCAGTGGGGATAAACTAAATCTGTATAATGTAGAAAATTCAAATTCTAAAACAATTCTACCTGGAAAAGTTAGTTTATTAGTATTCCTAATAGTTTTAAAATAAATATTACTGAGGCATTTCTTTATGTACAATACAAAACATCCTTTTTAGAAACTTCTAATCAGGAAGCTGTGACTTGAAAGCTCATTGCAGCTGACAGCAGTTTTTTGTGGTCACTGAAATCTCCATCACAACAATTTGATGCCATCTTCATGACAACCAATGGATTGGTAGTGATGTGAGGACAAAAACCTTTTTTTCTAACCTACCATCACAAAAGCAAATAGAGTTTGCTAAACACTATTCAGATTTCAAATGGAACTGTACGGCTTGTTTGAATGAAACTAAAATGTATGTAAATGTATTTTTTGTTATAGGAAAACAATTAATATTCTTGAAAGCTTAAATGAGGCATGTGTTGCCTAAATCAGTGTGTTAAATCTTTTCTTAAACTGATTGGAATGAAATTAGTCTTGTAAGAAATTGCACAAAGCTTTCTGCAAGTAAACATGACGTGTTTTTTGAAAGGATTTTTTGGATTTCACACATATCGGTAACTGGGGCAGAAGTGATTGTGTTGCGACACTGAAAAATCAGATGCTTGTTTTTCCTTCGTCAGATGACTCATTTCGCGCTTCGTGTCGGTTTGTGCTCTGCAGGTAGATTGTCTTTGGAGGAGTTCATTAAAGGTGCCAAAAGCGACCCGTCCATCGTCAGACTGCTGCAGTCGGATCAGGGAACCTCCCGCCAGTTCTGAGGATACAGAGAAATCCACTCTGCTGCATGAGAAAAACCTACCACATAAATTCAGCTTTACACCATTCCTTACCTCCCCTTTTTAGCTAACACTCTTGTTTACATTTATGTGTCTTCTCTCTGGAGCCGTTTTGAGTATTTTTTTGTGCTTTTCCTAAACCTTTCCCATTTAGCCTTTTTGTTTAATTTAAGTGCCATATAAGTATATTGACTGGATTCAAAGGTTAAAGTGTTATGGCTACCATTACATTACAAAAGGAAACTAATTAAATGACTTAAGAGTTTGATTCAACTGTGGCTTATTGTGGTTTAAGAGAACAGATGCTTACAAAGGTCTGTATGCCTTGATATAGCATGGCTCACTTATTTGTATTTTTGGATATTGTGAGTATAATGTATGTGAATAAGGAGGCAGGGACTGGTTGTTTTTATTCCTTTTTATTTTTGTAACAAAAATGTAATTTTGTTTTCACACGAATGAAATAAAGTTGTGTAAGAAAATCTACACAAGTCGTCCCACAGATTCTCCCCTGTCCTGGACAGACATGACGCAAACCCACCCAGAGTCTCATTTACCGTTTTTTTTGTTTTTTAAAAAAAGGGAAAATATGCCAAGTCAGGTTGAATCATCACCTTTCACGAGTTCACATCTTAAAACTGTTACTTTAAGGCAGCTGAAGAAGGGAGAGGGAGTCGCATTTGGAAAATAAAAAATAAAACACTTAAATGAACCTCCCCCTCCTCTCTCCAGCTGGTGGCAGCTTTATAAATATTCAGCCTTAAACATTCAGTAGGTTTGTGAAAATGAGTTCACCTCAGGGACAAACACAGGCGCGCACACACTCCCCTCCCTCTGGGTGACAGATAAGATGGTGTGAAAAACCACAGGTGACTCTCATGCGCCTCTTCTGGAGTATTTCAGTAACTGGCCAGTGTGGCCTCCCATTCGTCCACAGGAAGGGGGAGGCGAGGGACAGGACCAGACAAGACCAAACCCAAATCAGTCTGGGTCCGATCCTTACGTTTGGACTCATAACTCGTCCTTCTCAAAGTCCTCGTCCAGATCGATGTCACTGAGGTCGTATTCCTCCTCCACAGGAAGCTGAACGTGACAGAGAAAAAAAGAAAATAAAAGAGAATGTTAGAATAAATGATGGATTGTGGTCCAAATATAAATTCAGCTTTATTGTAATTGAATATTTTCTTTTAACTACAGGTGATTTTGAAAGACAAATGATGAAAACTTAAAGAAAAAATTCTAAATGATTCCCTTTATATAAAGTTCTGAACAGCAAGAGCTAAATCATAACTGCACTCAATCATTGTTGAGCTACATTAGAAAAAAAACACAAATCTCATTCATTTAGCATCAGATTTTTTTTAGTAAATAATTTTCTCCACAAAAGCCATTTAGTTTATATATTCAGCAATCAGTTTGCACTCATATGTACAGAACTAATTAAGTGTAATGATTAGAACTTTACACATTATTCAGACTTCACAGTTCAACATTAAGCATGTTAAAACATTTAATGCAGCCAAATGCAAAAAAAGGTCAGCTTCAGTTCAGTTAAATTAGAGACTAAATGATATACATACACACAGGTATTATGAGTTCATCTACCTTATTTAGATATTAACATCAGAAAATTACTACAATGATCCAGAGCTAATTAGTGAGGCAAACGCACCAGATCGAAAATAATTGAAATAAAAAAAACAAACAAACAGCTTTAATCTTTAATCAGAACCCACTGTTTCATCTCCTCAGCTCCTTTTTATGCAGGCAGTTGTGCTGTGGCTCCCTTAGTACCCAAATGCCATTATGCTAACCAACTTGAGACCTTTTCAACCTTTGAAATACAACAATATGACTATATTTTTGCAAATTGCCTCAAGATGATGTGGTGTGAATTGGAGCTATATAAATAAACTGAATTAAAGTCATTCAACATGAAAGCACACTTTGGTCAGCTTTGTCTGAGTTTCGAAATAAACGGTATCTATTAGTGAACACTGCAGCGATATTGTGGAACCCTCTACACAGTAGTCTGCATGAAAACTGAATTTTGCTTGAAACATTTGAGTTAATGATTCTGTTGACTGATTGCGACGAACACAATTAGAAGCCAAATTCAAAAAGCTCTTTTTAAGTCGCAATGTTAGTGTTATGCTAAATAATGATAATAAATGAAACCCAGTTTATTTTCTGTTAAGATATTAAAGTTTAGGCTTGTTCATTTGAAAAATCGTATCTTTATAATGCTCCTATCAGAGCACCATTGCCTCGCATCAGAAAACTGATGCAGCCACACTCACCTGTCCATCTTTCCCATCCCAGGCTTCTACAGCGTTAATTTTTGGCATGACTCCGCCTCCCAGTGTGGCGGTGGAGCCTCGGCCCACGGAAAGTTCCCTGAAAACAGGTCCTCCATTTAGTCTGCTGTTTGCTTTCTTTTACTAAAGAAAACTAGAAAAGCAGGAAAAGTGCGCCCTCTACCTGAGGAACTCGTGTATGCCAGTCTCACTGAAGGAGCCTCTGAGGAGAGCGAACTTCATTTTGCGAGCGTTGATGGCGGCCATGGCCGGGTAGCCGAATCCGCCAATTCCTAGAGAGGTCTCCAGCTCCAGCTGAGCACCTGCCTCCGTCCAGAGCCAACTGGAAATAAAACAACAAAAAAGATCAGAAAACTGTAACTTTGATAGAATAAAGTAATATTCCGTAGCATTAATCCTCACCCCCACAGCTTCTTCTTATACTTTTCTGCCATCTTTACCATCACATCTAGATAACCATTTCTACCGGATGCACCTGTTTGGAAACAGCAGAATGGTATTAGGATTTCTGTATGTAATCTGTGTTTTAGATTTTTGGTGTAATTTGGAAACAAAGTTTTAACATGGGAGATGGGGGGGAGGGGAGTAAAGACGCATTTCAGCACCTGTATCCAGGATATGTGGAAGGACGGCAATTATACACAGCTGACTGTCGTCACAGGTCTTCTTCAAGACGTCTTCATTAAGGATCTGAGAGAAAAAGTTCATTTTAAACTCAAAGTATTTTCTGTAAAATAAAAACGGGTTCATATAAATGTCTTATTTCTTAAAAAATGCAATTTTACACATCTTCAGATCAACATTTATCAAATGAAATTTGCTAAATTATAAAATTTTTGTCCATTTGTAAAATAAAAAACTCTCTAGCATATCAATGTTTTGAATATGAGGTCACATTGACAGACTGCTGGATGCAACCGATTTAAAAAAATAAGAATAAATCATAAAAATAAAAAAATAAATATTGAAATCCTTTTAATACATCTTAAAACCTTAATTTTTCTTCATAATACAAACCAATATTTTTTTCATTCCATTGCTTCTTGAGGACAGAATGAACATTGATTAAAGCTTCTATTTTAGTCATAGCTTTAGCTTTAATTGTACAACACCTGAAGCAGTCATACTTGTTGCCACAGTAATCAATCAAAGTGATTAGTATATGATGGATGATCACTCTGACCTCCAGCAGCTCAGGAGCAGGAGCGTTGTCAGAGAACAAATCCATGGCCTTCTCGATGATGTCCCCTCGGGTGCGGCCTCCTTGGTAGTCCTCAGGCTCCTCCCCTTTACGGAAAATTTTGATTGTGGGAAATCCGCGAATCTAAAACATACAAAAACATTCCTTTAATACCAGTATCAGCTGTCTGATGTGGGAAACATAAAAACAAAAGGAAAGCCATTATTTATGCTTAAAAATACACCCATGCTGGGGATTTTGGGGCATAAGTTTAAGCCACCGAATGCAAAAGACTGAATCGCAAAAATGCATGTACTATTCTAGTTTTAAAAAATATTTTTAAAAACCAACAATCTGGCAAAATTTATTTATCTCTTTTAGAGAACAGAGGAGATATTTCCTGAGTTTATCACTCAATGAAGTTTCAGCTACTGAAGATAAACATCCAGTGAATGCTCAACACCAGATACTGTATTAAATCATTTCATACACCTAGTTTCCAATGATATATTTAAATTATTTTACACTTCCAAATCATCAGCACCAAAATATCTGCAGTTGATCACTGGAGAGCCAAGGCTTTGATTTTAGCTGCTGAAATATTTAAATCAGAACGTCACAGTCTGCCCTCCGCTTCTTACAGATGTAAAACTCAAGAAATCTCTCATTAAGCAGCTTCATAAAGATATATTTTTCAAGCAGACCAAAAGCTCTGTATATGTAAACCACTGGAAATGCACTGGTAGAAATTCACAGCCCAGTTTTGCACAAATATCAGGGTTGTTTAGCATTTGGAGAAATGATGACACAGCACTGAGTTTTTAACTCACCCCATAGCGGCTGGACACAACCTGATGCACGGTAGCGTCTACAGCCCCAAGGCGAACTTTGCCCTTGGTCTGCTCCTTAACAGCTGTGGCTGCAGCTGTCCACTCAGGCTCCAGGCTGTGGAGGAGGACACAGTCACCATTACAAACACACACACACACACAAAAAAAATCACCTCAAATTTAATTTTTGTGCAGGCTTATGGTTTCTAGTTGTGGAGTTGACAAATTTTATAACTTCTAGAAAAATTTAACTAAAAATCTCTGCTTTATTCTAGTGCCTGAACAAATCTAAGAGATTTAAGGTCTACATATTGCTTAGTAAAAGGGTTTATCTTGAGACAAGTCTGTTAGCTACTGAATCTTACTTCTTGCAGTGTCCACACCAAGGTGCAAAAAACTCCACCAGCCACACGTCGTCACTGTTCAGGACGGTCTCATCAAAGTTGGCGTCGGTGAGCTCCACCACATCCTTCTTGCTGCCACCGCTGCTCTGCTGGAAGACAGCAGGAAGTAAAAGGAAAAACCTTTCATTTCCATCACTTCCATTAAGAGAGTGAAAGCTTCAAAAGGGTTCCAGTCGTTGACTTACCTGCTTGTTGTAGCTGGAGCCACCAGACTTTCCACTCAGCCTCTCTTTGACGAGCGTTCTTAAAGCATTCATTGCTCCATCGACAATCGCCTGACTACTGCGTCCTCCTAGTGGCATCAAAGATTTATTCAGTGCATCATACGTCTTCAAACATGTGGTTATTAAATCAGCCACAAATCATTTTATGATAGCATCAAATAAAATGCTTCTAATACTCACCTTGGTATTCCTCTGGTTTATTTTTATTTGCCCCAAAGACCTTGATGGTGGGGAACCCTCTGACGCCATATTGGCCTCCCAATGACTTGTGCTGGTCAGCATCTACAGCCCCAATCTTCACAATACCCTGAAAGATTGATCAGACACGTTTATGTTTGCCACATAATAACTTAATTGTAATTAACTTTTTGTTTTTGAAGAAGGTTTCTGTTGTGGTATTAGAATGAAACATTTTGTGTATCAGTTATTCTGCTGCAACAAGAAGCAGGCTTGCCAATTTTTAAGCTTCAGATAAAAATTTATCACCCTGCCCCTTCTTTTTCTTGGACACATATCATTACAACTCTACTTGTCTTGTCTTCTCAAAATAAATGCAGAAGAAAGAAAAGAATGACGTGTGACATCTCTGTTGGATTACCTTGAGGGCTGTTGCTGCTTTCTTCCACTCTGGAGCAAGATTTTGACAATGACCACACCTATGAGAGAATTAAGAAAAAGGAATAAAAAAAAAAAAGCAACAACAAATGACTGACCAAATGGCCATAAATTTCTGCAATTAGAGACACACAAACTGGTCAGCAAAAGACTGGAATCCAACAAAGTTGTTTTTGGATGAGCTCTAACAGCTTAACGGTAGCTAAGCTGTTAGAATATCTGCTTATTCTTTTCACATTCAATAAATTCATCAAAACTAAACATTTTTCTCTCTGTATTTGTAACAGTCACAGAAACCCAAAATGAATCAAAAATTTTTTGAACTGCTCTGAGACTCATGCATCAAAACACTGTCAACTCTGAATCTTCCTCAGCTTTTGTTTTTTATTGGGGGTCATAATCAGGACAATTTCTAAGATTGTGCGGCTCTAAAACTTTTAATGCCAACACAGGACAAAAATTAACTCAACAGTTGTATTGTTCTTTCAGATGAGAACAAAAACTTGTGAGGGTTGTGCTCTTCACAGCTAAAAAGTGGAAAGCAAATTTTGCATGCAAGCCTTGCCTTTTGTTTTTTTGATTCACATGTAAATGTTTAAAAGGGAAGGAAATGCCTCAAACAGGCGACTGTCACTTATCCACAAATCCTTTCTCATAAAACTATCACTGCTGCATCATTATTGTGATGAATGAATGCGTACATCTGTATGAACTCACCAGGGAGCATAGAACTCCACCAGCCACAGACTGTCACTCTGGATCACATCCCTGTTGAAGTTGGACGGTGTGAGCTCAATAACATCATCACTGGAGGAATACAAGGCTTGGACCGACAGGACCAGCGAGCAGCCCAGCATTCCTAAAACACAAGGTGAACGACCAGCAGGTTTATCTCAGCGACTAGTGATGTTAAATCAAATCAAATAAAATACTAACTACAGAAGGACAGCAGAGGACTGTTTATGCAGAGCTAAAGATTTGATTTTGAAACATTACATCAAATATAAAAGGCCTACTCCTGCACCGAAACTTAGCCCTCCCTGCAAGCTAACAATAGTAGCGAAAAACGCACTAAAATACTTAAAACACAAGCAATTTTCGTTACTAATGCAGCACAATAATACTACAACATTCAATAACTTACCAAATAAAAGCGAACTCATGGTTTTCACTTCTCTCAGCTCGTCTCCTCGATCGAAACAACAAACAGACTACTGCCGCTGCTCACGCTCTCACAAAAGTCTAATGCAGAAGGGGGAAAAAAAATCTCACCGTGGCCCACGCTGATTGGTCCGTTGTCGGAGACGGTGAGGTTGGACCAATCAGCGTGCGCCGTGTAGTTTTGAGGAGAGACGAATGAAGGGAAGGAGGAGGACGGAAGCAGTGTACTTTCTCTGCACCAGGATGCGTTAGAGATAACTAGGCTGACTCATTCTTAAAATTTAATGACAGCAGGATGCGTGTGGATTTGTGTTGAACCGTTTTTTTAAAAACTTATTTTAGAACTAGAAAATACAATGAAGAGCAAGATTATTAATGCTCTTTGAACTTTTGCCATTTTTTTCCCACATCATACCCCAAAACTTTAGTGTATTTTGTTTGGCTTTTAAATGATAGGTTAACATAAAGTAGGGCACAAATTTGAAGAGGGATAAAAATGACAGCAAATAATATTCTGAACGCCCAACGTTTGTTGGGCATTTTAATTTGATAACACAAAATAAAATCACGTGAAACCGATTCAAATATACTTACCAAATAGAATCCATCTCTTATCAGCGAATGAACACGCTTATTCACTAATCATTTGTGAACAAATAACATCTTGAAGATCAAGGCAGGCAGGGAACACAGCCAGTATAAAGTTTCTAGCTATAATTAGATCAAAAGGTGTTCAACAAGTTGTGCAAAGTTCAGATTATCTCTAAAAATGTGTGAAAACAGACCATCTTCTTGCACTTTACAACTAAGCGCTGCTTTTCTTCATCACATAAACAATAAAATGTTTTGCTGAATAACTTTATGGAGAAATTAAATAAACAAATTTAAGTTAACGTTATTATTACAACAACAACCTTTCTTTAAAAAAAAACAATACAATCCATCTTAAATTAAAAATTATTAGCCAAAATAATATTTTCAACTCACTTCATTCCACAATAACAAACAGAAAAATAACTGAAAACACAGGATTCAAATTCAAAGGTTGAAAAGGATCGATAAATTCATCGGTTTTTCTTTATTTTTTCTGAACTTTTAACATGTTTAGTTCCTGAAACCCACAACTTTCGCACAAATGTAATTTCTCTTTACTAAGCAATTTCAAAACAATACATGTTAAACAAACTAAGAAGGGGAAAAATACTCCATGAATACTCATAAACACACTATTAAGCAATAAATAAAACAGATATCAGATTGATTGGTTGTGATCAGTGCAACAAAAGATGAGCTGCATTGGAACAATGTGACCACTAGATGGAGACAAAGTCCAATACTCACGGAACACCGAGGAGTACCGTGAGTATTACTGTAATACTTGTAAAAAAGAAAGTGGTTAAAAAGTGTTCATTTGTAAAATATGAAATTTGATAAATAAATAAATACAGTTATTTGTAACAATTTTTATAACTATTGTAATACGTTCTTTTCTCAGACACAATGATAAATGTATTGGTCATAACGTGTGTGTATGTGTGTGTTATTTGTGTTTGTTATTCGTGTTATATGTCTGAAATAAATCATTCATCCATTCCTTCACGTCCTTCTAATGAGCTTTCCATTAATTTATCAGATCAGCTGTCAGGTCATTATTATCGTCTTAAAGGCCAAATGACTCACTTGTCCTCGTTACTGGTATAATAATGACAAATAATAATAATAATAATAATAATAATAATAATAATAATAATAATAATAATAATAATAATAATAATAATCCCCACTGTAAAAGCTCTTCATCTTCATAATGCTGTTAAAACTGTTGCAGAGAAGCTTTCAGTTGGAGTTTCATAATGATGAATCCAGTATGGATGACAGGACGGCCACATTTTGGGCTGACAGAGAAAGTCTTGTGGATATTTCTTCTCAACAGGTTGCTCTCACGTTGCGACGGGAAGCTGCAGTTCTCATCTGTAATTTCGTCAAGCTCACACCTCACAGTGCTTCTTCCCACGGAGCGCGGAAAATTGCGATCCGCAGCGCCTGGCTGCACTGCGCCGCGTCCAGACAGTAAACAGCAAAACACGCAGCAATCCCGCGTCACAGCCGGAAATTGAGAAAGCAGCTGTAGAAATAAATGTGCGTGGGTGCACAAATCGACTTCTGAAGTCAAATGTTGAAATGTAGTCCATCATATTTATAATTTCAATGTTAAAAGTGATAAGTTTGAGAAAACAGAAGTCCAAATGTTGATATGGAAAGTAACAATTTTGGCTTTAAAGTTTGGATTGTGCTGAATTTCACAAGTTAAAAGAACAAGAGAATCTTGATTTCAGGGAGGCTTTTAACTTTAAAAGTCAAAATTGTGACTCAAAACTATTGAACCTAATAATCATGACATTGCATACAGAATCGTGACTCTGTTTGCCATTTTTATCCTCTAAGTGATTCCACATTATTCCACACCTGTGTTAGTTAACTATGAACCCTTCTTATCATTTGAGTGTTTCATTTTTGAAATCTCTGCCGGAAGTTAGGATTTCAATTGCTCTGACTTGACAACAGGCGCACTTCAATGCCAACTTTTGCAGCGCGCACAGGCGCACTGTTCACTGCCAAACAAGGGTGCATGGAACTGACAGGACTTCATGCTGCAGTCAGGTCGAAGAAAACAGATCTTCTTTTTCATAACTAATATATGTACATATATATATTCTATTTAGAGGAATCTAGCGACTACGTAAGACGCGCCAGGACGCCTGGTGACATTTATGTGGAAATTTCATTCAGTTTTGAATCTTCGGAATAATGTGGGGAATCCAGAGAAGTCGGTACGCGGACTGCAACGGCTCTGAGGCGAGTGAAGAGGCGGAGATCGTGGTGAACATCGGCGGAGTGAAACAGGTGTTGTATGGCGACGTGTTGAATCGGTTCCCGGAGACTCGGCTGGCAGAGCTGGTGGACTGTTCTCTGAAGTCTCCCGAAGAGATATCCTCATTGTGTGACGATTACGACCCAGACAGCGGGGAATTTTATTTTGACCGGGACCCTGAGGCTTTTAAGTGTATAGTGGAGCTGTATTATTACGGAGAGATACACATAAAAAGGGGCATCTGCCCGATTTGTTTCATGAAGGAGATGGACTTCTGGAAAATCGGCGCAGATTTTCTGGATGAATGCTGCAAAAGCCACCTGAAAGAGGTTCAGGATGAACTTGCAGAGATCGCAGAAAGAGTGAGAACTATCTTAGTGGACAGAGAGGGAGACCCGTCAGCAGGAGGCTGCCAGCGCTTCCAGGCGTCCCTTTGGAGGCTGATGGAGAAGCCGGAGTCCTCAGTGCCTGCGCACGTCATTGCCATACTTTCTTTCATCTTCATCCTCGTCTCCTCGGTGGTGATGTGCGTCGGGACAATCCCCGAGCTTCAGGTGGAGGACTCCGAAGGCAACCTCACCGAGCACCCGACTCTGGAGGTCATCGAGACGGTGTGTATCGGTTGGTTCACCATAGAATACCTCCTGCGTCTGATCTCCTCTCCGAACAAGATCAAATTCGTCCTGTCCTTCATGAACATCATCGACTTCATGGCGATCATGCCCTTCTTCGTGGTGCTGATTCTGACCTCCTTCGGCGCCGGAGTGATGGAGCTGGCCAACGTGCAGCAGGCGGTGCAGGCTTTGCGCATAATGCGCATTGCGCGCATCTTCAAGCTGGCGCGCCATTCATCCGGTCTCCAGACGCTCACATCTGCGCTGAAGAGCAGCCTGAAAGAGCTGGGTCTGCTCCTCATGTACATGGGGGTGGGGGTGTTCCTCTTCTCAGCGCTGGGCTACACCATGGAGCAGAGCCACCCGGACACGCTGTTCACCAGCATCCCGCAGTCGTTCTGGTGGGCTGTGATCACCATGACCACTGTGGGCTACGGGGACGTGTACCCTAAGACCACTCTAGGCCGGTGTAACGCGGCCATCAGTTTTCTGTGCGGGGTCATCGCCATAGCGCTGCCCATACACCCCATCATTAACAACTTTGTGCTGTTTTACAACAAGCAACAGGTGCTGGAGACCGCAGCCAAGCATGAGATTGAACTGATGGCGCTGCGCTCCACTGAAGGCGAACTGAGGGCTGCACCCGAGCACCGCGAACATGTTTGCGATACCCGCGTGTGGGACTCCTCCATGAGCTCCTGTCACAGCGATACGTTCCTACCTCTGCTGAAGGACACCAGGGGAGGGCCGAGTCTGCAGACCCCGAGCATGGAGACTAGCTTTGAGAGCACAGCAGAGGCCTCAGAATATTTCATCTCATGAATTTGGAAAAACTTGTCTTACCTGATAAGAAAAAGCATCCGCAAGATGATCTAATCACTTTGTTTCTTTGAAGTACTGCATATGCATGGGACATTGGTTGAGGATTTGAAAATATCCCCGCTCTCAAAAGAAGATTAAAAATAAAAATGCATTCGCTTTGGACTTGATAAACTCGCAGCGAACCCAGATTTGCATATGGCCTCCACCTGAACACCCATACAGGCATCTTACTTCAGCCAACATTTACATATGCTGCCCAAATAGTTAGAAAATTCCCTGACGAAGGGGTCCCAGTAAGGACTGTATGCAGGTCACATTAGGCTCAATGACTTTATTATTTGCCACTGAGGGGTTCTGGCAGCTTTTTCTGTCCAGGCAGCAAACATTTCCATGTGGGACCAAACATGTAGGGAAAAGTCAAGTGAATCTATTTTTGCTGAATGGTACAACATTTGTTTTCATGTTGGTATGTTATGAAGGTAACATTGGATCCATTATGCATATATTATGAGGGTAGGAAATGAGTTGAAAATACCACCCACTTATATTTTACTGCAGGTTGAATAATTGCCCCATGTTATTTGCCTATACTTTGCCTACTGCAGGGAATCAATGTTTCCTGAAAGGTTTTCCCTATGTCAGCGTCTTATGCCCGCTACCATTTACACATGTGGCCCAAAAGGGTTGGAAATATTGAAGCTTTTGCTCAGTTGCAATTGATTCACTGTGAAAAGTGAATCAATTGCCTTTTTCAGTAAGTCCCTATTTGAAGAAGGTTTTTCTTTGAAACGCCACTTTTCCCCATTTAGGCATCTTGTCAAAGTTAACATTTACACATAATGCCAGTGAGACATGGGGTTTAAAATGGGCCTCAACTGTGCTAAATGCCTCCATGTCATTTGCCGACATATCAATCCTTTCATAGATAGCAGTGGGTTTAAGTTTGTTCAGATGTTCTGTTCCAGGATTAGTTTTTCTCTTTTAGTCACCTTATGACAAAAAGAGATGGCTCTTTTAGTCATGACATTTTGGTAGGACAAGGGTTGAAAACAGGCACTACGTGGGCAGGTTGTATGAATGCAGGTTATATGTTATCTGATTGTACTTATTTGATCAAATCCGGATACAAAGATTACCCATATTCATCTATTTTATTGATTCTGAATGTAAATTCTTTACACCCAAGTGAGACCCCACAAGGACATTTTTAGGATATCCTAAATGAGGTTTTGCTGAAATGAGGTTTGTCTAGTAAACCCAAGTTGGACCCATACATGAAGCACATTGTGAGCTCACACCCACCTACAGTAACCATCAAGTCTGAGCAAAATCCACAAACACATACTGGTTGTGATTTAACACTCCCATACAACTAAATTTCACTTATACTGTAGATTGGTCTGTAGCTTTGTTTTCATGTGAGGCAGCTTGTTCAGGAGAAAATTTAAAAAAGTCAAATACCTTCATGATAACTGTATGAGCATAACAAAACAATCAAACAAAAAATCAGATTGTACTGTGAGTTTGTGATTTAATTATGGACATTTCACTGGCGTTGCTGGAAGCATGGAATTGGAGATGCAAGCCCTCATGGACTCTTAAATGTTGTTTATCACCCGTGATTTACATCAGCGTGATTATTGTTTCTGTGTCAGTGCAGGGTGAAATCAGATGAAAAATGCACAAGAGTTTTTGCAGCAGCTGCGTCATTTGCCTGACTTTTTGTTAAGCAGATTTTAGGGACTTTGAATGTTCCTCTTTCTCCAGGGTTCGTTCCAAGTTGCCGTCTTTCCGCTGATAAAAGAAGCAGAAATCGGGAGGTGAAGAAATCCCAAACCACATGACTATACTCCAACAAAATCATCAGCAAAGAGAAAGATGAAAAAATGAGGAGCTGTGTGGAATATGTATTTTATTGTGATTAAAGTTGAATGCAGCATTTTTGTGCGTCATGCTCCAGGTTTCTAAATTATCCTGACAGGTGCCATTTTTAAAAGGAAAATGTTCACATTTTTGAAATGCCTTAACTCCTACACTGACAAGCCTGAATGATTTTGAGTTTGCTACACAATTAGAACAGTCACTTTAGCAGTTAGCTGGCACAGCAGGGATGCTGCAATGCCCGACACGACATGATTCAAGCAAAGACTGTACATCTTTGCAGAGCCTTTTGTGACATTAGGGTCATCAAATCATTAAATGGACAATCTTTTCACAGGAAGCATGAGCAGGAAAAAGAGGCAGAAAATAAAAAGGCAATTGTTGAGCACTTAAGAGGCTTGATTGTAAGTAGACTGATAAGTTGATTTTTTTTTAAGCAGCTGAATTTGGAGTATGTTCATGTTTATGTGCTGGTTAACTATTTTTACACATTAAGAACATTTAATTCGGTGGTTGCCCAGTGAAATACTAGTCAGAGACAAAAAAGGAAACATTGGTTAGTTTCAATGACTATTTGACTGGTGAATTACAAAAAATAATTCATATAAACAAATAAATATATGCATGTACTTAAAGCTATATGGATTCTTATCAAGAATTGATACACTGACATGATCAATATGGGTGCACAAAAACACTGCTTAACATTTTTTTCTAACTTCCCAACTAAAGTAAATAAATTTAAAATCAATTTATTATTATCTAGAGCATAAAATACAGGACACTGCTGCTCTCCCAGTGACGAGCTTTGTGAATATGTCACTTCTACAACATGTCAGTTTGGAAAAGAGAAACTTCTCCATCACCTCCTCCTCGGTGATGTTCTCAACTGAGCTCTAAGTCTTCCGTTCTGCAGCCTGAAAGCGAGAACATGAAGGTGGTCAGAAGGGAAGGGGACTGTTCAGACTGTCCACCCACATCTTTTACTCCACAGCTATCTCCTCTGGCCAGCAGGAGATTCACACATGTCAAAGACAGAGAAGAGGGCCTTTGTTGGCGCTGACAGGTGAAGGGAGGAATGTGAAAAGCATCCATTGTGTAACAGCACAATGCTCCCCTCACAGCAGATGCACATGCAAATACACACGTGTACTGTCAAGTTCAAATTTAGATCCACAATCGCATGCGTGTCCAAACATCACTCCTCTCCTGTCCGCCGCCTACCCACATCAGCAGACAAATGATTGCACTCACCCAAATCCAGCCCTGTTTCGTCTTTACACTTGCAGTCACGTGTGATGTACTGTACAGTGACCTGCTGTGATCTGCCAGCTATTCACAAGTTTTAACACCCACATGTTGCTCATTTGTTGCATTTTGTGGGTGTTTGAGAAGCAACAACAGACAAAATGCTCATTATCCCCTCACCAAAAAACACATACATTAACTTAACAACAGACTGCTTTCCTCTTAAACACAGTTGATTTAAAATAAAAGTTGTCTAAAATAAAATCTAGCAGAAGAGACTCCAATAATTTTTTTAGCATCTCTGTTGGAATAAATGGAGTCAATATGTTTTTTTTCTGAATTACTTTATTATATTCTGACATTTAATATGATACTTTTCTTCGCAATGGGTAAAACTGCCATGCTAGTAAATTATTGTTTATACTAAAGTCACTTGTATCATAATTATTGCCACTTTGGCTGCTATTGCTTCTTGCAACCCCATACTGCCATGTTGCCACTTCTGCCATGTAACACAGTTCCTCTACAATGTGAGCTTGATCCAAGGTCCATCAGAGAGGGAGAGCCACAGCCAGACAACCTGAGGCCACAGGAGCTTCCACTGTTTCTGCCTCCTCCCTCTTTCCCAGTTTTCAGCATCCGACTCTAATAATAAGCACGTCAACACTTTTAACTTGCTGTCAGATTAATTGAAAGACTGACATGTCTGTTAGATTTGTCGGACAACATTCTGCTGAGGCAACTAGTCAAACTGATCGACATCTTCTATTGTGGAGTGTCACGGAAGTTGCTGTCATGCGCGAGGTTACACAGTGAGACTTTCAAGTGTTGTATGAATTTTAAGAATCGTTCTAGTGTGTGCAAGGCTTAAGGTTCCAGCTTTACACCGACAATGAGATAAAGAAAGGGTGAAAAACAGGAGCATCTGGAAAAGGCTGGCTGAAGCTGGAGTGAACAGAGGAAATTACACCAACTGACTGTGCAGGAAATGGGGAAACTAACTAAACACAAGTAAGTGCCATGAAAACAAAGTTAAATATAAAACACATAACTCCAAACATAATAATCAGAACATTGAACTCAATCAAAATCAAACTCTTAAGTCTACGCATGTTTTCCATCTTTCTCTAACAGTTAACAATAAGGTAAAGGTCATTTTATTTACATATCTCGTTTTCAACAACAAGGCAATTCAGAGTGCTGATGAATAAAATAAAAATGTTGCATGAGTCCAAAAAGAGACGAGTTGCATTTACTTTTCAAGGTTTTGTAATTTTAAAAAAATCAAAAACAATAATTTCTCAATGTGTGTTTTCTTCCCTTCTTAATAAGTTGGCTCAACTTAAAGGTTTACTTTTTCATTGTGAAATTATACACATGGCACTGAATTTGTACACATTTATGACTATTATTGATATATCGTGCAATAGTTACAGTAAAAATATAACTTTTAAAAAAAAATACACAGAATTATTCTGACTCCTGCTTTTTCATAGTTCATAATGGGTTCCTGACTCCCTGCTTTGAACATGTATTTTAGTGCTTGTTGTCACAGTGTTTACATTAGCCCGCCTCAGATTTTCATCAACAGCTGCCCGCAGAGATGGCTGACAGCAGTCATCTGCAGTGCATGCATGTCATGTTTGTTCGGTTCGACGCCGCAGTGGGAACGATCCTGCTTTCCCGCCCCGCGTCGTGCCTGAATGATTCTGTACATAAACACCCAGACTGGACCTTTTGAATGCTTTCAGAACAGATTTACTGTATGCTCCAAGCAGATTGGGTGTCACCAGGAGAACTGGTATTGGTTGGCTTTCAGGGAATCAGTGTGATTCCTGAAATGTCACATTGTGTCCAGTCGAGCCTCGGGGCTGATTGTTGAGTGTTGACGTGGCCGGTTTTGAGCGTCACCCAACAGTTTCGATGACAGCGCAGAAGCACTGACTTGTCTGCCTCTCCCCTTCTCCCTCGACCTTTTGTAGGGGGAGATTGTCAACACCTGTTCCCCCTCTAAAAATAGGGAAACCTCTGTGAACAAATGAACGGACACAGACAAACTCAGACAAATCATGTTGTAGAGTGGTGCTTTTTTTTGTGGTAGGGGAAAAGATTCATCTCAACAATTTATTTCAACAAACTTGAATATTATTATATCGACAAAAGATAAAACCTGCATTTATATCCTGCTAGAGTAAGAATGCATGTGCATAATGCCTTTAGCAGCCTGCCTCACTGAGACATTTCTTCATTCAAGAGATATTTGCAGCTGCCAGAAAGGGAAAAGGTAATCTCCCCGATGTCAGATTCAGAAGACGACAAAAAATAAAAATCATATTCCAGGAGTGTTTTAAATGCTGCGTAGGTGCACCCCGAAGCACTTCAGAAGGCGAGCTGCATCAAAATTGCCTGCAAATAATTATACAGATTAAGTATGACCTTCTATGAAGCGGTAGGAGATGTACCTAACCCAGAAAAACACATCTCTCCAAAGTGGATTCACATTTCTCTCTTCGCCTTTAAACCGATCGGTTTTAGAGCTCCTATCTTTCAGAACGTTCTCTTGGAAAATCTTCCACTTATCTGCCTGTGGGGTTTCAAATGTGCAGATGAAAAATGCGTGAAATTTATTTAACCTAATGCATCTGCAGGTGGAAGCTTTAATACTTTGGATCCCTTGCTACTTACAATTCAAGATGTTGTTCTGAAGGATAAAACATTGCAGCAAACGAGATGCAATGAATTAATCCTTGCCACATGGTTTATATCCTTTTAAAGTTTGCACATTTTCTCAAACCACAAACAAAGTTCAATAAATTTCACTGGGATTTTAGATGATTGATCAGCCCAAAAATAATGCATAACTGTGAAGAGGAAGGACAAAGAGACATGGTTTTCCATTTTTATGATAAATAAAACCATTTGGCATGGATATGTGTTCAGCCCCATTAATTGGATACCCCGGAGTTAAATCCAGTGTGAGAAATTGCCTTGTCATTGAACTTTCTGACATACTTTTAAAAAGCTTAGCTTATCTTTAGTACTTTTATTTTATTTAAGGGTATCAAAATGAGGGGGCGGCAAATGGTAAATGAAAATCACACACACAGATTACATTTGTGTTCAACTTTTTCTTGCCCAATCACAAGCAAATAACTAAACTAATTTGAATATTTTAAGGTTTTTGCTTCTAATGTGAATTTCTGTCAATTTTAAGGATTACATTTGGAAGACCAAAAGACCAATGTTAGTTAGCAGCAGAGTTTTACTATTTTAATTTTTTTTGGAAAAGTTCATAACGTACCTGGATTATCAATGGAGCCAATAAAACTGAATGATAGATAAAACTTTCTATGTGAGAATGATTTGCATGTAGAGTTGCTCTCGCATGGATTTTTCATTTTAGGCAATAACTCAGTTCCGCAGGGAGCTGAATGTGGCTTTGAGAACGTTTAGATTCAACATGTAGACTCTGAGTAATGCTTACGAGTGCACTGAGAATACTCCAGTGGTAGTGTATCATATTGTCAGATATTTTTATTACATGGTAATTTACATTAATACTTAGAGAATATTCCGCAAGGAAACATGTAATGCAGAAAGCAAGGAAGAATAATGTCAGGAGTGGCACTCGGTCTGCGTCTAGTCTCAGTATCCTGAGGTTTACTGGAGAAGTTATGCTCTCATTTGTTCTGGTTGTGAACCACTTTTGTGGGGATTTTTACATGAAAGACAAGCTGAGAGCCTCTGGGCCATCACAGTGAATGCCAGTGAGTCTCAAGGAGATGATGTGGTCTTATTACTG